TTGCCTGAAGTGAACTCAGTATTTGAACTTCACCAAGCTTTTTGGCTTGGGAGATGAACCATTGGGCTACAAGGCCCCAGTTCAATTTTTCTTGGTTTTTCTGGAAAATAATAGCTGTGGATGGAAATTTAAATCAAGAATTTTGGTCCAAATAAATTGTAGATTGAGTATTATGCCTTAATCTTCGTTTTTGCTTGCAGGGGGGAACTCTCCAGCTATGCTTCCTTTGCCGTTGGCTGCCCTAGTTAGCCTCACAATAACCTATAAACTTGATAAAGCATCTGAACGCTTTCTCACATTAATAGGCCCAGCCTTGATGTCCCTTGCTGAAGGTTGCCCTTGGCCATGCATGCCTATTATATCCTCACTTTGGGCTCAGAAAGCAAAGCGCTGGAGTGATTTCCTTGTGTTTTCTGCTTCTCGTACTGTCTTCCATCATAGTAGTGATGCCGTGGTTCAGCTCCTTAGGAGTTGCTTCACATCCACTCTTGGGCTCAGTCCTGCCCATGTTTGCAGCAACGGTGGAGTAGGTGCGCTCCTTGGCCATGGATTTGGTTCTCACTTCTGTGGGGGTATGTCTCCAGTTGCACCAGGGATTCTGTACCTAAGGGTGCATCGATCTATTAGAGATATCTTGTTCATGACAGAAGAAATTCTGTCTCTTCTAATGACTTCAGTCAGAGATATTGCTAATAGCGGGCTACCACGGGAGAAACTGGAGAAATTGAGAAGGACAAAGTATGGAGTGAGATATGGGCAAGTTTCTCTTTCTTCATCAATGACACGCATCAAACTTGCTGCTTCACTTGGGGCTTCATTGGTTTGGATATCTGGTGGATCGAGCTTGGTACATTCCCTGATCAAAGAAACCTTACCATCTTGGTTTCTATCAGTCCATGCATCAGATCATGAAGGTGGGGAATCTGGAGCTGCAGTTTCTATGCTGGGGGGTTATGCACTTGCATACTTTTCAGTTCTTTGTGGGACATTTGCTTGGGGCATTGACTCAACCTCAGCAGCATCAAAGCGAAGACCAAAGGTTCTCGGAGCCCACTTGGAATTTCTTGCCAGCGCATTGGATGGGAAGATATCTCTAGGTTGTGATTCTGCCACTTGGCGAGCATACGTGACTGGATTTGTGAGCTTGATGGTCTCTTGTACACAAGCATGGGTGTTGGAGGTTGATGTTGATGTTCTGAAAAGGATGAGCAAAGGATTGAAGCAGTGGAATGAGGAAGAACTGGCTCTGGCCCTGCTGGGACTCGGTGGCGTTCGTGCTATGGGTGCAGCTGCAGAACTGATCATTGAAGATAGGGTTTAGATTTTGTTAGTGAGCCTTTAGGTTTGGATGATGATACAGGGCAACTTGTATACTTTTTATTACATTTAAAAAAAAAAGAAAAGAAATCACAGTATGTAGCCTTAAGCAAACAGCTTTAGAATCGTTCAGTAAATATGGTTCAAATTCAGCACACTTAAGGATTAGCCATAATTGGATTAGGCTAAGGAATGGATTCCAATTTTGCAAACTAAAGTTATTGCACTCATTAAGAGTTACTTTTTCTTTTTTTATCAGCTATTCATTGAGAGTTAATGACTTTGGAGTTTACTAGTAATTCTCTTCCTCATCAAAGAAGAGAGGAAGGAGAGGGACACCAACCCCAAACATGATGGTATCCAAATGGAGAGGGAAAAATTTTGTTATATTTTTGGGATACCATTAGCGTGGTATCTTGATTAATGAAAATATATCATTTTAACATTTTTTTTCATAAATGATTGATGAAGTGTGAAAAAAAAGTTAAGATAGTGTGTTTTTATTATTCCGAGAGACCACATCAGTGGTATCTTGGGGATATAGTAGAATTCCTCATGGAGAGGGGGTAGGGCTGAAGTGTAGTTCGTAAATAAGTTGAATTGAACATAAACTCACGTTTTATTGAGTTTGGAAAAATGAAGGTTGAGCTCGACTTATTTGAGAAACAAGTTCAAGTAACTCGCAAGCACTCACTGAACTCAACGTCAAGCTTGAGTTTGAATCACAAGTGCTTGGCTCATCAACGGTCCAAGACTGGAGGTAAAAAGGGTAACTCACCAATAAAGAAAAAGTAAAAGGAAGGGGTAATGTGATAGATTATAAAAATTAGGGGCGGAAATGCATTTACAGAAGAACATGGAGGAGTTTCAGTGCTAAAAAGATATAATACTTGCTCCTGTCGCCTGGTGCTTAAACTTGACCGCTTAAAAAGTTAAAATCCTTAAATATCCAATTCCAATTGCTTTCTCTCTCACCTTCAGAAAAAATTACGACTTTTTGCTTCACTGATACTGACTACTCTGCATTCTTGGAGCAAAAATGGAGGTGAAGGTGTTTCCTCTAGCTTGCGTACCTCCCCTACCCTTACTCCCAATGCCCACTAACGTGCGCATGTCTGGTTTCAACGCCAGACACCCCTCAGTACTGAGGAGTACGAGCAAAGAAGAGACCCTTTTAGAAGGGATGCCTAAGGAATACTACGATGATGTATGTGGCTTTTCATGTACTAGTCCTTACTCTCTCCAAGTTTTCTCAACTGGGTTCGTCTTGTTTTTGTTCTTTAGCGACATCTTTGCACATGGGTTGCTCAATTTTTGTACTTCCTTTCAATTAGTTGAATGGGGTGTTTGAATTTGGTGATTTCCTTTTAGTAGAAAAGTAGCAATCTTTTTAATCAAATTAATGGTTTTTTACTTGCTGAACCTAAACTATCATGTAATTAGTGAAGTAAATTGTTGGACAATAATTTCTAATGGCACTGATTATATCTTGGCTAGGAATGGCAAGCTAGACAACGGGAAAGGAAAAAGGAGTTGGAGAGAATGCGCCGAGAGGAGGAGGAGGAAGAAGAAAGAAAGATTGAAGAGTATCGTGAGATTGGCATGCGGTTGAAGGGTTATCCAGAAGAAGATCTCAAAAAAGCAAGAAGATTAGTTTCAAGCTTTATTAGAGCTGAAGAAGAAGTTGAAGAGGTAAACAGTAGTTGCAAAATAAATAATCAGTTCATTGCAGATAGTTAACTCTTGTGTTTCATTGAGGCTTTGACATAATGAAGATGTAATATTTGACACTGTCAAGTGAGGTTCATCCCTTCATGTTTGCCAAAATTCGTGACTTGGAGCTGCTGTTACTGTATTTCGAGTCAATGTGGTGTATTATTGTTGTTGTTTCACAAGTAAATAATTAAAATTTTTAATAAAATTTTCCTGATTGTCTGACACCCAAGCCATGGCAAAATCCCTGCTTGGATATGAGGGTTTTAGTTGGTAGAATCTTAGGGGGCTTCTCAGTTTTATGAGCACATGGATAGTTTGATGGATGGTTATTTCTTTAATGCAGAAAATTGAGGAGGCTGCTGAGAGAGGAGAACTCACAGAACTCGTGCTAATGATCATATGGAATCGTCTTGATCTTGCTCGGCGTGATGTAAGTGGGTATTTTCATACCATTTAACTTGTTTTTCCTTTCTTCTTTTCCAGCTCCCCATTGTGAGGCAATCTCTTTTTTGGTGCAAAAAAAATCTCTAACTCAGCTAATTTGTGAAGATGGATGTTCTATGTCGCTGCAATGTAGTGTGCAATCACTCTTTAATGCAACCATTTTATTCCTGCCACCCGAGGATTTCATCTTGAGTATGTCAGACATTTAAGTATATTGGCTTATTGGCATTGTTGATCATGCCTCAAAACCCTTTATAGATGTGACAGTTTCTTTCAACAAATTTTACTTTTTACTATTTGAATGAGTAAAATTTGGACATTGGATTCAAGTGGTGACTGAAGAATCATGGTTGAAGGAATATAATAAACCCTAAGAAATCAGAAAGAGTGCTTCAGTCCTTAAAATTAATAAAGTCAGTAATTATGACATGCTTGTTGGTTAAGGACTTAAGATTGAATTTCGCATTAAGTTGCCTAAAGTGGAAGATAATGTCTTCTGGAGGATTCTTCTAGCAACAAAGACTAGATACCCCATGGGAGAAGGTCAGACATTGAAACTGGACACCCCATGGGAGAAGATAATACATCGAGACTGTATGGTGTAAATTCTGGGAAGTACCTGCAGTTTGTGAATTAGCTTTATGCAATTATAACATATTTTATCACAAACAATTGTTCCAGATAAGTGGGACATTCTGAAACTAATCCAAGCTATAATTGTAAAAGTACTTGTGAGTGTATGACTTATCATTATCTCTCTTTGTCTAGTATATTGATGTGTGTATTATTCACCTTGTCCAGGATGAAAAAGACGCCATTAGAAGTCTTGATCTGCTATACAGAAGGGTTGAGGTATGCAGAGCTTAACGTTTTTGGCTTTTGTGTATCGCACTGTTTTCTAGATAGAGTATGGTCCAGATGTTGATATGTACATGCAATGACTTGCTCTGATATCATTTCTATGTCCAACCTTAGCCGTTGTCTTGTTGATTTAATCTTTTGTGGACTATAATGGTGTTTACTAAGTATTTGATTCTAGCATTAATTCAAACATATTATAGGTAGACTGGTTTGGTATTGAATGATTAAAATCTTGATTTGGCATTATACATCTGTACAATAACAGAAAATTTTCCTTCTTACTTTTCTATGTCCTTTCTTTTAAATATCACATTCTAGCTTTATTATTTGCAACCCTGTGGAAAACACTAAGCTTTGCCTTGCATTTTAGACTGAGATATTGAAACGGGAGGCTACCCCTGCCATGAGATTGCTCAACGATCTTTTGAATCTGCATGATGGGTTTGATGATGAAGGGTGGCTAAAGGAATGCAAGAAACGCATGGTTGATACCTTTCCAAGAGAGGATCCTTTTAGCATCATGGTTCCGGCAGGGTTTGATATTGACAAGGTTTGCTGCAAATGCAATAGAGCATGTAGATTTCTGCCTTTTGAACAAAATGATAAATATCAATGTGCACTCACCAAAACGTACACTTGTGACTTGTACAACTTTTTTTTGGTTTAGCTAATTTATTCAATGTGAATATTTTATCACAGCAATCATCTCAGAATTTATTTCTTATGGATTTTTCTGTCAGCATAATGGGCCACTGCGACCATCACTTGAAGCTGATGATGCTCTTTTGAGGGTAGATTTTGTTAGAGAGGTTGATGCTCTACTTCAAGAGGTTCGATCTGAACGAAATGAAGCACAAAGCACAGAAGGGCTTGATGCTGAATCTGTTGCAAGTAGATTGAAGCAACAGGAAAGGCAACGAACCATAAGCCTAGTTGAAGCTCTGCTAGACCTAGCCATTGATTTGAAGTGGTAACCAATAGCTTTCCTTTCTTTGGGTGAAAGACGGAACCCCACGAGCAATGGTCGGCAGTTTTGGCACCAGGTTGTCCTCCATGGCAGTTTTGTAATGTTGGTTTCTTTGTGAAGATTCAGATGGTTGAAACTTGTTATCAAATATAGAACAAAAACAACTAGATGATGATTTTATTGACAACAAACTGATACGTATATACATCTTTAATTGCCGAGTATCATCTTCATTGGTGCGCCGGCCTCATGCCTTTTATTTTATACAGGCCTTATGCTTTTTATTTTATACACAGAATACTCTGCACAGGAGAATAAACAAAAACGTTGCACCTTAAAGCTCGATTGACAGTGGAGTTCGCTGCAATCTGGCTTCAAACAAGGAGCAACTGTGAGACTTCATTTCGTAAGTAACTAATCCCACCATTTGCTCAGGGACGGGCGTGCCATTAACTGAGAAAAACCCTGGGAACGGTAGAGATGTGTCAACTAAACGATGCCAGGCCATGCCTTCTGGAGGTAAGGGTAGAATAACACTCTCAGAATGTTTGGCTGCATTGAAGGCAATGAACAGATCACCCATCACTTCAGAATCCTCAGAGCTAGACTCACTCTCTGGTTTGTCAGCCTTCAGAGTCATTGCCAGAAATTTGCAGGAGGGATTTTCCCATCCTGGTGGAGACCCGTTCCTTCCATGCCATACAATATTTTCTTCTTTCAAGAAGTTCCTCTTCTGCAGAAGGTCACTTCGTCTGCTTCTAATTAAACTCAAAAATGAGATAAACTGTAAGATTTGAATGCCAAACCCTGTTGTCAGAGCATTCCAATCAAAAAGCTTTCTGCTGCCATACGATGGGGAACCACCAGAAGATTGGCCACATTCATCTCCCATGTTAAGAATAGGAACCCCCAGTGAAACAAATAAAATGAAGAGGAAATTCCGAATTTGTTTGAGTCTTCTTTCAAGGACAGCAGGTTTAGTTGTAGGTCCTTCTTCCCCACAGTTCCAACTTAATTCTGAAGCCAACTCAGTCATACTAAAGCTGACCAAGTCCACAAGAGTAAGTCCAAAATTTTTTGCAATAAAATTGAAAGAAAATGCTGGGCCTCGCCCGTCTGAGAATATGTCACCACTACCACAAAGCCGTGTTGCAAGGTCACTAATGGCACCCTCACCCCTTAGAAAGTTCCTCACATCTGCACAGAACTTTGTGTTCATCTCCGCCCATTTTTTCCAATGAGGAAAATGGATTTCCTTTGACACCATTTCATGTGGATCCCAGCAATCTGCAATGATCTTGGTCTTAGAGAGTAGTGGATCAAAAGCAATTGCCTCAACCAAAGGAGGCCGAGACAAGTATTCACCATGGAACCCTCTCAACAGAAACGAAGCATTGATGAAACAGAAGCCATCAATGTGAAACTCGGTCACCCAATGCCGGAGACTGTCTAAAATCATCTGTTGGACAATAAAATAGTTACAATTCATAGCATTTTTTGCTCCCAACTCTTTCATTTTATTCCCGTAATAATATGATGCATCATCAATTCCTTGCAGGGCCCCACCCTCAGCAGTAGCTGTGAAAACAACTTCCAGAAAGACCTCTATTCCATTAGCATGCAATTTCTTCACCATTTCCTTCATTGAGTTAATAGCAGATACAGAACCATTGGAAGGCCCATAGAGGTTTGTTGGTGAAAAGAAATGACATGGGAAATAGGGTCCTTTTTGCTCATCAAATGTGAATATCGGCTCTAATAAGATTGCATTCATGCCAAGATCTTTTAAGTGCTGCACCTTATCAGTTACACCCAAGAAGGTCCCGGCCACATCAGCAGGTAGGTTACTGGACTTGTGTTCAGTAAAACGCATCACATTCAGCTGATAAACCACTAATCTTTCCATAGGTAAGTTTGGTCTAACATCACCACCCCAATCAAAAGCAGGTTCCTTGCATAGCCGGCCAAGATATTTCAAAAGCAAACCAGACTCATGCTGACTAGGAATCGAACTGCCGACAATTTTAGCATATGGATCCAAAAGGACACGCTCTGCTTGAAATCCCTTTCCATCTCCCTTGCAACGATAACCATAGCTCACAAAATTCCAGGCACCATCTATGGAGGCATGCCAAACATCACCAGATCGATTGACGTAGGGATCGAGATCAAGCTCCAATGCGGGCTTCTCTAACGTAGTATCATCATACAGGCAAAGAACCAAACTCTTAGCATTCCTGGAGAAAATGGCAAAGTTCATGGATCCATCACTTGAAAATGACACACCCAATGGAGCAGGACAACCTGGATTAAAACCAACTGGCACACAGAAATGCGTCTTCCTATGACTCCTGATCTCTGATATGCTTGAATCTGCATCTGATGAATGTTTTAGCAGAAATGAGAAATAGAGTGGAGCTTCTTTTGCTTCAAACTCCACCTCAAGTGCCAACCTACCAAAAGACCTTGGTATAAATGGGGTTTCAACCATCTTAGTTTTAGGATCTTGATCAGATCTATGTATACCCCAACTTAGCACCAGACTGTCATTCCTAGACAACTGCAAGGATGAGACTTCAATATTTACCACATGTTTGACACTTATCTTTCCAACCAAAACCTTCACCTCTCCACCAACTTCTGTCCTGAAGAGATACGTTGTTAGCTTTCTAACTTCATCTTCAACTAGACTAGTACTGGTGAACAGATGTTCAGTTTGATCAACAGAAACTCGTGATGCAGCAAATGTTTTCAGATCACGACTTTGATAAGGAGATTTCATAACATTGTGTGCAATTTCTCCAAACAACCACCTTGTTCCTACATCTATTCTATCAATACTCTGTACAGTTCTATGATGAGTGCCAGCCATCAATTTAGATAATTCCGCAGCCCCACAATTCAAACATCCAGGTCCTATAGCAAGTGATGGAGAAAAAGTTCCCATCTATTCCACAAAAAGAAACACAATCCAGAAAATATAATAAGAACCCTCAGGAAAAAGTACACTTTACCTCACTCCAAAAATAGAAAGAGTTACAAGAACATGATTGCATAAATAAACTAACATAGCAAAATCATGTCAGGGAATCAAATTGACACCAATAAAATTATCAAATCCCTACAATTCACCATGATCACTGAAGTAGCAAACACTTCGCAAACAAACAATTCTTTGCAAATCACAAAAACCCACTCTAGTAGTGCATCAATTTCACAAAAACCAATCCAATATTTACGATTAGAAATCGAAATCTACGGTTGAGTAGAGATACGGCAAAGGATCGATTGGCATTTGGTTATCTCCCTATCCAACTAATTTTGAGAGAGCCAAAAGAAAGAACAATGCTTCCGCGAGAACTCTTCCTCGACATGGAGGAATGGCGGAGAAGAAGAGAGTGAGCTGAAGAAGAACATACCTTTACTGTACTGTACTGATTGTAGCAGATGAGAGATGGCCTCTGCGTTCAGACGTGGCAGAAACTTATAGACGGAGAAGACGATGATGATAACCCAATTTGCAAGAACGACCTTAATTTCTTTGGGTCCTGTTCTCTCTTTTTCCTTTTTGTCATTTTTCTTTGTTTTTTCAATAATCCCAAATTCAAATTATAGGTTAAATCTCAATTTAATCCTTCAATTATTGTATAAACTATTGAGATTATTATTGAACTAAAAAATCTATAATTTAATTCTTAAAATTTTGAAATTTGATTCTAAATTGATTTTTCTATTAAAAAATAGCTAATATATTCATTATTTAATGATAAAAGGTCATTACTTGGCGACAATATGTCATGTTAGAAATGAAACATGTTAGCTATTTTTGAACTGAGGGATCAACTTAGAATTAAATTTTAGAAACTTTAAATATTAAATCATGAATTTTTTTTAGTTTATGGACCAACTTAAGATTTGTACAATAATTTAGGGATCAAATTAAAAATTTAACCTAAATTATATGATTTTTGAATAAATCAAAATCATAAAACTATATATATATATCATTGCTTATTAATTTGTAGCTAAGTTCTTAGAAGTGCACAGATACCATCATAGAATGATGGTTACAAATCATTCCCTCGATGTCAAATATAAGGCAAGATGAGTTTATGACATGCAGGCGTGGCAAATGGGTAGTTTGAGTCAGATTCAAGTTAGGTCAATTTGGATAACGGGTTATATGAATTAGGTTGTAAATAAGTTATGAGTTGAAAAAGATTAACTCTTACTTGATCCTAGTGGGTTATGGGTCAACTTGTTAGTTTACTTTATTTTTATTTTTTACAATTATTTTTTTAATTTTATTATATACAAATAAAATTATAGATATCTAAATCTAATTAAAACTTAAAATTTTGAAGTACTATAACTCATTAACACAAGCACTTTATAGTGTCTGTCACAAACGTTTAAATTAAGAAAATATCATAAAGTTATATATAACAGTGGTGGGGTGTATTGGTAATGTAGGTTGATGAGTCAATGTCGGTGATGATGTGAAGGGCTGACTGGGATGATACCCGAGGAAAATGAGGAAGGTCCTTTTGGCGACACTCGTCTCATTTGCAAGGGGTTACGTGTTAGGGGCCATCTTGTTTCGCTTGACGATGATAACCTCCAACGAACTTTTTGGCAAAGTCAAAAATATAATTCTTCCAGCCAAGTCGGTAGAGTTGGTCAGCGGTGACATAGTTTTGGGAACTCAAGATGATTACACAACTATCAAAGCTAATAGGAAGAAGATGTGTATCGTTGAAGGGGCGACAAGGATGGAAAACATGTGAGGCTCAAAAGATTATAACTTGAGAATCACATTTATACATACAATATGGTGACATAATAGTAATGACAATAAATGTGATCTCTATCATCTTTAGTAAATATCTTCAATCTATAATAAATTGCCTTCATGTTGAGGATGAAAAAATACAGCAACTCCAATCTTGAAATCCTTTCAAGAAACGAAAAGGGATAAACTTAAAAGTGGTGATGGGAGAAGAAAAGATGATCGCTTGGGGACTTGTGAATGGAATACTTGATCTCGTTTTTTATGTTAACTTTGCAGCTTGATCATTTGATGCTCAAGAAAAACTACCTAGAAACTGAAATTGTAGCATGCTGCCTCCCAGCCATGATATTTTGCAAATTTGAAAGATATTTTGCAATGCTGAAGAATATCCTCGAGTGTTGGAAAATGTAGAAAACGTGGAAGAAGAGGTGATTTCTGGG